TATTTTATTTTATTTTATTTTATTTTATTTTATTTTATTTTATTTTATTTTATTTTATTTTATTTTATTGTATTTTATTTTATTTTATTTTACTTTATTTTAATTAATTTTTAATTGATTTAATTTAATTTAATTTAATTTGATTTAATTTATTCTAGTTTAGTTTAATTTAATTTAATTTAATTCTATTTTGCTTTATTTAATTTTATTTTATTGTATTTTATTTTATTTTATAGTATTTTATTTTATTTTCTCTTTTTTTACTTTGTTATTTATTTTATTTTATCTTTTATTATTTTTTATTTATTTTATTTTATCTTTTTTAATTTAGTTTAATTTTATTTTATTTTTCACTATACAAAACTCTACGCTTAAATACTACATTCAAAATAAACACTTCAGCTACTCACCAATGATGCTAAACGGAAATTTGCCCATCCCACAAAATTTGCCAATAAGTGGTGAATGCTCATCGCGGCCATCGTAAACGGCAAGCCAATCGTAGGGGCAGTGCTCTTTGCCGGAACCAATTGGTCGTATGGGACATGTCATGACATTTTCGCACCTGCAAAAGAAGAGTTTAAACGTAAACATGTATGTACAAAATTACATGCTGGCAAATATAAATAAACGATACCCATATTTATACGCATTAAGGTGGAGTGATGAAACCGTGTTTTCATTATTCGACGGTGTTCGGGCAGAAATTGACTGACATCTGTAAAATACACACAACTGGAGAATTTTTTTATATAGATTTTTCAGAAATCCTCTTCAACCGTAGCCTCTGTGCGAGTTTTTTTTTTCAAACCGAAATGTCACAATTATTTCGGCCGATTATCATTAAATAACGAAAAATGGTTTTATCCTCCACCTTAATGCATGTATGTATGTATGTATATTTGCAAGAAAAGTAGGCGTTAACTGGCACATAAATATGCAAGTTATGTTACCGCATGGACTGCGCCAAAAAATGCTGAAAACAGTTAAGGAAGTTAACGGCAAATAGTTGCTGTGGGTTTACGTATTCAATGTGTGCTTAGAGATACACAAAAAGTTATGGATGCAAGTGTTATGGCTTAAATTAGTACACAAATATGTTTAGTTGAAGATGTTGAAAACGACTTAAGCTATTCCATAGAGCTATTTTTATGAGTAAAAGCATATCCGCTACGAATAATAGTTATCATCTAGCTGTAAATAGCATATGTAATTGTCAAAATTCCTATCAGCCTACCCTGATCGCTTCTGTATCTTTAAATTTAGACATAAATGGCTATCTCGAAGAATAGAATTCAAAAGTAAATGATTAATGTACAGAGTACATAGAATGACACGGTTTGTCTCCTAAACCGAATAGACAAGGGATGGTTGATATTCATTCCAAAAATTCATCATACGCCAGCCCTGTCGGAAGCATCAACAATCAAAAATAATTGAATGCTTCATGTTAATATCTCTTTTATAAAAAAAACTCTTTACCGCTCCGTTGATAATGCAGGGACTGTTAAAGGAAAATTCCCTCATCTACGCCCTGAATATGGATTATCAATTGATTGATCTGTGGAATAAATATATGTGGCGCTAAAGCGAATTTTTAACATTTTACTCAAACAGGTTTTTTAAGCTATAATATCTAGGAAAATGGTTAGATAATAGGAAACTCTAAATGATAAAGTAGTTCATAGAAATACCCATATCTATAACAATCAAATATTTTTTATAGAATTTAGGGTAGGCATTTTCTTGCACTCAGTCCAAATTGACCCATAGTTCAACATCACTCACCCCCCTCCTAAGGTTCCCAGAGTATCAGAAGCTCAAACAGGTGGAGCGTTGTGAATTAGGGCAAGGAACGTTTTTGATTGCTGTCAGGCGTCGAAACTTTGATAGTAATCATAGTGTTTCTGTGGCAAATTAAGACTTACTGAAGTAGTAGAGCTGTACCCAGTAAGCCGGCTGTGTTCCGATGAATTTCTTCACCGAGTTCTAACTAATGTGACAGTTTTTTTTGGCGCTCCTTGACATTTGTATGTCCGAGTACTCTGAGGCAATCCTAACACGGTCTTCCGCACAATTTTTTAGCTTACCCATTAAAACGAGCATGCACTGGTAGAGCCATCGACAGGCTGGCCGCAAACAGAAGATTGCATATCTATTGGCTGCCAGGTGTGCTACTAGTCTAACTCTCGAACTGGCAAACTACATTTTAAGACCATTCCAAAACTTGCATAACAAAATAGGCAATAGTATGTTTAGGCAGTTCAGGGCTGGTTGGTGTCACCAACGTGGACAGATGCATGAAGTGCCGTGAACTGGAAACCATGGAAACCGTAGAGCATCTTTTATGCCGTTGCGCATCACTGCCTGAAATACGACTAAACTGCTTAGGAGTCTATCGATGCGAAGAGGTAAAATACATCTGAAAAGTAGAGCTGAAATCACTACAGACATCATTTGTGATCTCTACTTTAAAGCCTAAATTCCAACTTTAACTGACAGCGCAAGGAATCTATCGGTGCTGAATGCCGGCCAGATTGACCTAACCTCAACTCTTTACGCTTTAAAACCAAGGGAATGATGTACTATGCAACATTTTTTACACGCCCCAGTCTATTTTACAGTCAGTTTAATGGTAGCCCGTAGCCCGCTGTGGTGTAGTGGTAAGCAGTGCGCGCTTTCACTCATCAGCACCTGCGTTCAAGCCCTGGTCAAAGCAACATCGCAAAAAAATATAGAAAAAGTTTTTTTCTTAACAGCGGTCGTCCCTCGGCAGGCAATGGCAAACCTGCGAGTGTATTTCTGCCATGAAAAACAGCTTCTCATAAAAATACAATCGCCGTTCGGAGTCGGCGTAAAACTGTAGGTCCCTCCGCTTTGTGCGACAACATCGAGGAGCACGCCACAAATCGGAGGAGAAGCTCGGCCAAACACTAACATATGTGTAAGCGCCATTCTATTATTATTATTAATGGTAGCCCCATTTTCAACTTCAACTACTAACCCTGCTTTGATATTTTTTTTTTTAGCACAAAGCTGTCCTCATTTCACATGTCGTTCACTTCCTTTCATCATCGAAAGCAGGATGTCATAATTAAATATAATCAATTGCTGTCATGTTGACTTTTACCTATTTACTACAGTAGCATTTTCAATAATAATGAAGCCACCGTTACAAAGTACAAAGCGTTGATATCCTTTCACTCCGATATTTTATGTATAATGCTGATAAAAAACTTTACAGATTTCAATACCGATTAAATAATCAATTGTGGAAAGGGTCAGCAGTTACGTATAGTAGATATCTATGGCAACCTGTGTACTATACATTTCCCCCTTATAGTAGGTTCTTCCTTGTTTTGTTGTTCGAGTTGTTTTTGTCACCAACAACTGCCGGCTGTTATGATTAATTAATAACGGAAAAGGATAATTTTTGTTATTATAAATCATAATGATTGCATAGACGGCGATGTGTTAAATTACATTAAATGAAATGGGAAAAAGGAAGGAAACTGCAGCAGTGTCACGCAAGGGTGAGTAAGAGAGAGAGCGAAAGAGAAAGAGTGAGTTGCCATCGCAATAGCAACAATCACCGGAATATCAAAGCACGAATATCAATGGGAAAATGAATGAGTTCAAAAATAATATTATGATTTTACACAATGTAAGTATATGTATGTATGTGTGTATGTGCATAATGGTACAAGGAAATTTATCGCTGCAACATGGGCGGTGAAATGGGAAAACTAATGGGACTTGGTAATAAATAAAAGAGAAATACACAAATACAGCCAAAGCTAAAAATTGCAGGCATGTTTTTGTGTTGAGAGCAAATAAAATGGCGACTGCTTTAGGTAAATGGGTTTGCGCAATAAAACGAAGGAAGCGCGTTCGATTCCCCTATCCTAGGGTGAAATATTAATGATAGCAGATAGGCGACTTTCACAGACTAAAACGGAACTTTGCCTATATAATTTTTATTAGAACTGAGGAGATTTTTTTAATCGGTACATAAAGGCCGTTCAGGCGTTCAAATATCTGGCAGAAGCGCGGCCCAAATCTGTCAAGTGCATCATTATCATAATTATTAGCAAAATACAAGTGTATGTAAGTTTGTGTACATATATACATACATACACACATATGTATATGTTTAATTATCTCTTCATGAAACTTGTGTGCTCCATAGCGAACGCGTATGCGCGAACTCATCAATTATGCCCTCGAAAAGTTGCCACAAAACTTTTGCCACATCATCGTCGGCATCAATAACTGCTGCAACAACAATGTGCGAGTATTATTTAGTACAAAGAGACGCCATAACGTGGGCAGGAGTGCAATAGCATAGCGGTGCGGTGCGGTGCGGTGGGGTAGAGAAAGCGCAGCCGAAAGTTGGATAGCGATTGCTATTCGAAACTTTTCTGTTATCACAAGGCATTGATCGGACAGCGCCCCGCAGTTGGAGAAAATAAATGAGCGCAAATTATTTCTCTCACTGATTACTTGCTGCTATTATTTATTTTTTTTTTGCTGCTTCTTTTATCGTATGCAAATTTAGATTTTTAAAAGAGAAACTTTTTACGCGCGTTAATTACGTCGAATTTAGTGTAAATGCGAAATTAATTTGTGACGAATTTATCGAGTAATTTACGGGAGCCGTATGAAGGTGCGAAAATTAGGTGATACACTTAAGAAATTAGGAAAAATATCGGAAATAGATTTCAGCCAATAATTTGTTCAGTTTATATACGCATATTATGAGGAGGGTTTTCAAAGGTGTCTGTACGGTATCTAATGTAAGTAAAGACTGCTAAAATAATCGGCCGTATGTTTTTAAATTTGACATCAAACCACGTTCCGTCGATACTGGCTATGATTCTATAAGGGGTAGAAATGCTTTGCGCCGCTAAAATAAAACTATTTGTGGAAAAGATATAGGGAGATTTCAGTATGAAACGAAAAAAACTACTAATAACCACACCTAAGTACAATAATAGAGGTACTAGAAGGCATCACCGCTTTCTCAAACGTCCCAAAATTGTATAGTGCAAAAAGCAGAGTAAATAAGTAGTAATTTGGAACAACATCGCTTCTCCTGTTCCTGTTAATGAATGTCACGTAATCGAAACTAGTTGAAACAATTTTAGGGTTTTAGTTTTACAAAAAATGTTTACAAAAATTTAAAACTATGTAGTTGAAAACAATTCAAATAAAAAATTCTCGCAAAAAAAAATTTTTATTGAATTTTTACTTGAATTTTAATGTAACAAAGTGCAAGTTTCAAGCGGCTAAGAATTCACGTTGATTTTTTAAATTTTTTTCATGACGCTGATAGGCATTCTCTTCCACATAAGTAAAATGTCGTCGAAATTATTGAAAATACACATAATTTCTTAGCTACTTGAAATTTTTATTTAATAGGCAGTAAAAGTGCATACCCAAAATTTTTCTCAAAATTACAAAAATTTTTTTATAACATTCAAAATTTATTTCAGGCAATTTTTTCCGGTGTAATGGTTTTCAATTAGTTTTTTATTTTGTAACATTTATTAACAGGTAACAGGA